CGCATGCATGGAATCTACAGACTGGGACCTTTTCAGAGCTGCCACAGACAGCTTGGATGAATATACGGACACTGTGACGTCATACATCCACTTCTGTGAGGATAGCATCATTCCAACAAGGACCAGGGTCATCTATAACAACGACAAACCCTGGTTCACTGCTAAACTCCGGCAGCTCAGGAAAGCAAAGGAGTCTGCTTTCAGGGAGGGGGACCGCAGCGGCTACAAAGCAGCTAAATATCAGTTCAGGAAAGAACTGAAAGCAGCCAAGTCCCGGCACAGAGAACGACTACAGGAGCAGTTTGGTAACAACGATACTGCTTCTGTCTGGAGGGGCCTACGGGAGATCACCAACTACAAACCCAAAGCCCCCCCCTGTGCTGATGACCACAAGCTAGCTGACGATCTGAACTTATTTTTCAGTCGCTTTGATGCTGCCCCTGACACCTCTCCCTCCCCCACCCCCCACTACTCTAACTACTCTAACGACCCACCCATCAGCCCTGCCCCCAGCCTAACAATAGCCGCTAAAGAGATTAAACAACTCTTCCTGAGGCTGCACCCCCGCAAAGCTCCTGGCCCGGACCACGTGTCTCCGGCCACTCTGAGACACTGCGCCAGTGAGCTTACTCCTGTGTTCACGGACATTTTCAACTCCTCTCTGCAGTCCTGCCATGTCCCGGCCTGCTTCAAATCCTCCATCATTGTCCCCGTCCCGAAGAAGCCCAGGATCACAGGACTCAATGACTACAGACCTGTAGCACTTACGTCTGTCGTCATGAAGTCATTTGAACGCCTGGTTCTCTCCCATCTCAAGTCCCTCACCTCCCCCCTCCTGGACCCCCTGCAGTTCGCCTACAGAGCCAACAGATCTGTAGACGACGCCATTAACCTGGCCCTCCACCACATCCTACAGCACCTGGACTCCCCGGGGACCTACGCCAGGGTCCTGTTCGTGGACTTCAGCTCTGCCTTCAACACAATCCTGCCATCCCTGCTCCAGGACAAGCTCTCCCAGCTCAACGTGCCCGATTCCACCTGCAGGTGGATCACTGACTTCCTGACGGACAGGAAGCAGCGAGTGCGTCTGGGGAAGAATGTCTCGGACCCTTGGATTATAAATACAGGAGCCCCACAGGGCTGTGTTCTTTCTCCCCTGCTCTTCTCCCTGTACACCAACCACTGCACCTCCAGCCACGACTCCGTGAAGCTGATCAAGTTCGCGGACGACACCACCCTCATTGGACTCATCTCCAACAACGATGAGTCCGCCTACAGGAGGGAGGTGGACCGGCTGGTGTCCTGGTGCAGTGGTAACAACCTGGAGCTGAACGCCCAGAAGACAGTGGAGATGATTGTGGACTTCAGGAAGAGCACTGTCCCCCCGCCCCCACCCTCCGTGATGGACTCCCCCATCACCTCTGTGGAGTCCTTCCGTTTCCTGGGCACCACCATCACCCAGGACCTCAAGTGGGAGCCGACCATCAGCTCCCTCATCAAGAAGGCCCAGCAGAGGATGTACTTCCTGCGGCAGCTCAGGAAAGCCAAGCTGCCTGCACAGATGTTGGTGCAGTTCTACACGGCCATCATCGAGTCCATCCTCACCTCCTCCATCACCGTGTGGTTCGCTGGAGCCACAGTCAGGGACAAACAGAGACTACAGCGCATTGTGCGCTCTGCAGAGGAAGTGATCGGCCGCAGCCTTCCATCGCTGCAGGACCTGTACGTCGCCCGAGCTCGAGGCCGGGCTGGTCGTATCACAGCCGACCCCTCTCACCCTGCACATGGACTATTCCAACCACTCCCCTCAGGCAGGAGGCTGCGGTCCATCAGGACTAGAACCTCCCGCCACAAGAACAGTTTCTTCCCCTCTGCTGTTGGACTCTTGAACACTTCTTAACCTGTCCCCCCGCCCTTTATAAAGTCACTTTACTGCCCATCATACGTCACTTTACTTCACTGTACTGCTGTCACCTTACATTGTGTGCACCATGTGCACTTGTATATTGTAAATAGTAACTGTAACTCTATTTTAAATTTAAATTTATTCTTTAGAAGTGTTTTTTATTCTTATTTTTATTATCTCTTTTTGACTGTTGCACTGAGCCAAAGCAATTTCCAAGTCTGTGACCTCCCGTTACTTACGTTGGCAATAAAAATGATTCTGATTCTGATTCTGATTCTGATTCTGTACAGGCTTCTGCACATTGATAGAATGATGAGTTTAACTTTAACAAAAGTTGCTTCAAAGTGTTATGAAATCTCACATTCCCCCCTCTGGTCATACATTCCCGTGTGACCATCAGGATCGATAAACAGGAACATAACATCATAACTCAATACTTAAACTCGGTACTTCACTCGGTACTTCAAAAAAACTCAGAACTCGGAATACTTCAAAAACTCAGAAAACTCATTAAACATGTTCAGATCTTTCATAAAACTTGGCAACAATCTTCAGTAAAATACCAAACTTCATCAGTCGATGGTTCTCAGATATTTCTTTGAAAACAGTCTCTCCCACTTCTCTGTGTTGATTTCTTCAGGCTGCATTTGTGTTGAGCCATGATTCTTCTGTGACGTGTCTTTCAATCACACGTTTCAGCTTTAGTGTCCAGATTCAGCAATTCAATTGTTCAAAATCATGTCCATGCAAAATAGGACGCTGGTATTGTCCATGTCTCAGCAGCTCACAGCCTGACTGGAATCAGGAGCTGTGCAGATTGTCCATGTGCTGGTCCAGATGCATTCTCTTGAGGTTTTCCAGTTTTGGCTTAAAAAAAAAAACACATTTTTGTGTAAAAAAAAAAGGTCTTCTGTTCTGTAGATGTTACAGACAAGGCCCGCATCCTCCACCACCTGAAGAAGATGACATAGTCTGGGATCGCGTCTTTAATTCAGACAGAAGACATGTTTTATTGTCGATGGTAGAGACAGCACGAACAACAGATACAACAGAATGCAAGTGTATTATACAGAGCGGAGGCATGGAGTCCTCCAATCAGCAGCTGCCACAGTGTATTATACAGAGCGGAGGCATGGAGACCTCCAATCAGCAGCTGCCACAGTGCCATGTAGCTTGGCCTTCAGATAGACACAACAAGGGAAAAGTACTGGCTTCTGCACATTGATAGAATGATGAGTTTAACCTTAACAAAAGTTGCTTCAAAGTGTTATGAAATCTCACACAGTCATTAGCATAAAGGTGAAATGAAAGCCCATGTTTACTGAAAATAGCACCCAACAGGAGGAGGTAAATTGAAAAGAATTGAACCAAGAATGGAATCCTGGGAAACTCCAGAGTGTAAAGGGGGCGGTAGAAGTCGAGCCTTCATTTGGACCACATCTGCTTGCTCACAGTATATGTCCTACCTTCTTAAGCATACAATAACATAGTCAATATTCTCAGAACATATTATTTACTCGTGACTCATCTACAGTATCAGCCTTTTACATTCACCCACTCCATGTAAAACCAGATTTCCAACTTTTTCATACATTTATTGGCCTGTGATTCACTGCTGCAGTACATCTGGCCAAAGCTTTGCACAGCTCTGCCAACACTGGATGAGAAATCACCAAGGTAATGGGATGACGCACAATGTTTTGTGACTTAAATAGGTCTTGACAATTTGTAATTTCCTATTGCACAGTCGTTCAAACACAAAAACTCAATTGCAAAAGCTGACGAGGCACTGCGGGAAGTTATGATTAAGGCAAAATGATTAGGTTGGTGTGCAGTGCCTCGCTAAAGATGAAGTACTGCTTGGACGTTCGCATATGTTGTTGTGTTGCAACCAGTGGGGGCGGGTCCCGGCTCAAAAGTGTCCAAAATGACGTGCGCTGACATGCTGCAGTACCACCACGGGCCTGTGGGGGTGGACCCAGAATAAGAATTAGCCAATGCTAACATATAGCATCTTCTTACCTCTGGAAAACGTCTTTACAGGATGGTCCAAAAGTTGTCTCTTGGCCCAAAGCTCCGTTCCACATGTGTGTCAATGCTGAGTGTTCTGGACCAGTCTAGTTTAGTCGCTGTGGACTTTAGAAGTCACTCGTTTAAATGAATGGAGCTTGTGCAGCTGACGCATGCGCAGATAAGTTTTTTTCACATTTTCCAGCCCCTGTGGCCATTTTGAATCACTCCATGAAAGCCCAATTTTTGGCCCATTAGTTAAGATAAGATAAGAGTTCCTTTATTCGTCCCACAGTGGGGAAATGTCAATGTTGCAGCGCACAGACAGGACAGCAGTAAGAGCACACAGGGAGCACACACAATATATACACTATAAACAAATAAGTAGTAGCTATGTTTCTTAGCTAACATAACTAGCTGTAGATGCTGAAAAAGCTTCAATACCAGTAATATATATATATGTAGTAGTGCAGTTATATACTGTACAGTTAAATAGTGCAGGATAAAAAGTATATAAGTAAAGTGACATGAGGTGAAGTGACATTGTTCTGTGACATTCTGAAGTTGCAGTATTGCACATTGCACATGATTTAAGAATTTACTTAATTAGAACAGCGGAGATAGGCATGACATAGTCCGTTAATATATACAGTCTATGGTTAATATATACAGTCTATGGTTAATATATACAGTCTATGGTTAATATATACAGTCTATGGTTAATATATACAGTCTATGGTTAATATATACAGTCTATGGTTAATATATACAGTCTATGGTTAATATATACAGTCTATGGTTAATATATACAGTCTATGGTTAATATATACAGTCTATGGTTAATATATACAGTCTATGGTTAATATATACAGTCTATGGTTAATATATACAGTCTATGGTTGCAACTAAAAACACAGCAATTGTATTTTGGAAGTAACCACAGACTGTGAAGTGAATGAGAAATTATGTGTTATATTGTTATACTTTTAAAAATCCAAAACAGAAAAGTGGGGCCTGTAATTTTGTATTGTTCAATTCAATGTATCTTTGTAAAGCCTTCAATAATAAAAGTGTTTCACACGCTTCACAAAGTTGTCAACTCCTCCATCACCTCCTCCATCACCTCCTCCATCACCTTCTCCATCTCCTCCATCACCTCCTCCATCACCTCCTCCATCACCTTCTCCATCTCCTCCATCACCTCCTCCATCACCTCCTCCATCACCTCCTCCATCACCTTCTCCATCTCCTCCATCACCTCCTCCATCACCTTCTCCATCTCCTCCATCACCTCCTCCATCACCTCCTCCATCACCTCCTCCATCACCTCCTCCATCACCTCCTCCATCACCTCCTCCATCTCCTCCATCACCTCCTCCATCACCTCCTCCATCTCCTCCATCTCCTCCTCCATCACCTCCTCCATCACCCCCTCCATCACCTCCTCCATCTCCTCCATCTCCTCCTCCATCACCTCCTCCATCTCCTCCATCTCCTCCTCCATCACCTCCTCCATCACCCCCTCCATCACCTCCTCCATCTCCTCCATCTCCTCTTCCATCACCTCCTCCATCACCTCCTCCATCACCTCCTCCATCACCTCCTCCATCACCTCCTCCATCTCCTCCTCCCATCACCTCCTCCATCACCCCCTCCATCACCTCCTCCATCTCCTCCATCTCCTCCTCCATCACCTCCTCCATCACCCCCTCCATCACCTCCTCCATCTCCTCCATCTCCTCTTCCATCACCTCCTCCATCACCTCCTCCATCTCCTCCTCCATCACCTCCTCCATCACCCCCTCCATCACCTCCTCCATCTCCTCCTCCATCACCTCCTCCATCACCTCCTCCATCTCCTCCATCTCCTCCATCACCTCCTCCATCACCTCCTCCATCTCCTCCATCTCCTCCTCCATCACCTCCTCCATCACCCCCTCCATCACCTCCTCCATCTCCTCCATCTCCTCCTCCATCACCTCCTCCATCACCTCCTCCATCTCCTCCATCTCCTCCATCACCTCCTCCATCACCCCCTCCATCACCTCCTCCATCTCCTTCATCTCCTCCTCCATCACCTCCTCCATCACCTCCTCCATCTCCTCCATCTCCTCCATCACCTCCTCCATCACCTCGTCCATCACCTCCTCCATCACCTCCTCCATCTCCTCCTCCATCACCTCCTCCATCACCCCCTCCATCACCTCCTCCATCTCCTCCTCCATCACCTCCTCCATCACCTCCTCCATCTCCTCCATCACCTCCTCCATCACCTCCTCCATCTCCTCCATCTCCTCCTCCATCACCTCCTCCATCACCCCCTCCATCACCTCCTCCATCTCCTCCATCTCCTCCTCCATCACCTCCTCCATCTCCTCCATCTCCTCCTCCATCACCTCCTCCATCACCTCCTCCATCTCCTCCATCTCCTCCATCACCTCCTCCATCACCTCCTCCATCTCCTCCATCTCCTCCTCCATCACCTCCTCCATCACCCCCTCCATCACCTCCTCCATCTCCTCCATCTCCTCCTCCATCACCTCCTCCATCACCTCCTCCATCTCCTCCATCACCTCCTCCATCACCCCCTCCATCACCTCCTCCATCTCCTCCATCTCCTCCTCCATCACCTCCTCCATCACCTCCTCCATCTCCTCCATCTCCTCCATCACCTCCTCCATCACCTCGTCCATCACCTCCTCATCACCCCCTCCATCACCTCCTCCATCACCCCCTCCATCACCTCCTCCATCTCCTCCATCTCCTCCTCCATCACCTCCTCCATCACCTCCTCCATCACCTCCTCCATCTCCTCCTCCATCACCTCCTCCATCACCCCCTCCATCACCTCCTCCATCTCCTCCATCTCCTCCTCCATCTCCTCCTCCATCACCTCCTCCATCACCTCCTCCATCACCTCCTCATCACCCCCTCCATCACCTCCTCCATCACCTCCTCCATCACCTCCTCATCACCCCTTCCATCACCTCCTCCATCACCTCCTCCATCACCTCCTCCATCTCCTCCTCATCACCCCCTCCATCACCTCCTCCATCACCTCCTCCATCACCTCCTCCATCACCTCCTCCATCACCTCCTCATCACCCCCTCCATCACCTCCTCCATCACCTCCTCCATCACCTCCTCCATCACCTCCTCCATCTCCTCCTCCATCACCTCCTCCATCTCCTCCTCCATCACCTCCTCCATCACCTCCTCCATCACCCCCTCCATCACCTCCTCCATCACCTCCTCATCACCCCCTCCATCACCTCCTCCATCGCCTCCTCCATCACCTCCTCCATCACCTCCTCCATCACCTCCTCCATCACCTCCTCCATCACCTCCTCATCACCTCCTCCATCACCTCCTCCATCACCTCCTCCATCACCTCCTCATCACCTCCTCCATCACCTCCTCCATCACCTCCTCCGTCACCTCCTCCGTCACCTCCTCATCACCTCCTCATCACCTCCTCATCACCTCCTCATCACCTCCTCCATCACCGTGTGGTTCGCTGGAGCCACAGTCAGGGACAAACAGAGACTACAGTGCATTGTGCGCTCTGCAGAGGAAGTGATCGGCCGCAGCCTTCCATCGCTGCAGGACCTGTACGTCGCCCGAGCTCGAGGCCGGGCTGGTCGTATCACAGCCGACCCCTCTCACCTGCACATGGACTATTCCAACCACTCCCCTCTCACCTGCACATGGACTATTCCAACCACTCCCCTCTCACCTGCACATGGACTATTCCAACCACTCCCCTCTCACCTGCACATGGACTATTCCAACCACTCCCCTCTCACCTGCACATGGACTATTCCAACCACTCCCCTCAGGCAGGAGGCTGCGGTCCATCAGGACTAGAACCTCCCGCCACAAGAACAGTTTCTTCCCCTCTGCTGTTGGACTCTTGAACACTTCTTAACCTGTCCCCCCGCCCTTTATAAAGTCACTTTACTGCCCATCATACGTCACTTTACTTCACTGTACTGCTGTCACCTTACACTGTGTGCACCATGTGCACTTGGATATTGTATATAGTAACTGTAACTCTATTTTAAATTTATTCCTTAGAAGTGCTTTTTTATTATTTTTATTTTTTATTATGCCTTCTCTACCCTTACCTCTTTTTCTGACTGTTGCACTGAGTTTAAATGTTAAACAGTATTTCAGATACAGGCTTGTTTGGTCCCACTGTTCCATCTGATGAGGGCGCCATGTCTGGGTGTGTTTTCAGGACAAAGAGCTCTCGTCGTGTGACAGCTCTCTCAGCGAGTCCTTCACGTCCCCGTCCTGCACGCTGGGGGTGGACCTCCGGAGGGGACGCCGTCGCTTCTCCGGTAACCTGCAGCTGCCCCCGTTGTCATGGCGACAGGGAGAACGCTCGCGCAGTCCCGACCAACAGGCCATGACCCGGCCCACCTCCCTGCCCTTTGGAGCCCCTCCCCGCATAGACATCACACCTGTAGATCCGGAATGGTAAGGATTATAGTCACAAGTCACAATATCATGCACAGGCCACATATGTTTACAACAATATCAACGTTTTCATTTATATCAGATGTACACGCCATAGTGTGGCTACAGTCAGTCATAAACATTATATATTTATAATGTTTATGCCAAAACATTGCAGCTTAGACAGATAGACAGACAGACGGATAGACAGATACAGATAGATAGATAGATACATAGATACATAGATACATAGATAGACAGATAGATAGACAGATCGACAAATAAATAGATTGACAGATAGATAGACAGATACAGATAGATAGATAGACACAGATAGACAGATAGATAGAAAGACAGATATATAGATAGATAGAAAGACAGATAGATAGATAGACAGATAGATAGAGAAATAGAAAGACAGATAGACGAATAGACAGATAAATAGAGAAATAGAAAGACAGATAGACGAATAGACAGATAGATAGATAGACAGATAGATAGACAGATAGAAAGATAGATAGATAGATAGACATATAGACAGATATATAGATCGATAGATAGACATATAGACAGATATATAGATAGACAGATACAGATAGACAGATAGATAGAAAGATAGATACAGATAGATAGAAAGATAGACATATAGACAGACAGATAGATAGATAGATACAGATAGATAGATAGATAGATAGAAAGATAGACATATAGACAGATAGATAGATACAGATAGATAGATAGATAGAAAGATAGACATATAGACAGACAGATGGACAGATGGACAGATAGACATCTAGACAGATAGATAGATACAGATAGATAGATAGATAGATAGACAGATAGACAGACAGACAGACAGACGGACAGATAGACGAATAGACAGATACAGATAGATAGATAGTTTAGCCGCTCCATTCAACATAAACTGTACACAGCTTGTAAGTTTTACAGTGAGAGACAAATAAAGCCGTAAATGTTAGTGATGATGATGATGATGACGAAGTGTGCTGTCACATCAGACACGCTGCATTGACACTGGTGGTCACTCAATAGCGCCCTCTGCTGCACATCTAAAATCATGGCAGGTAAACAACATGATGGAAGAACTTACCAAGCCTTTTACTCAAAATATGATATTTGTATAATTCCATTTGTTTGATGAGCCTCAGTCCAGCCACTTTGGAGAAATATTTTTTGAACAACAAACAATGACATTAAATTGCAAATATTTATCATAATCTTATTTGAGCACATTTCTTTCTACTGCTGTGTTTCGTGGTTGTACTATCACATGTTATGGAGTACATATGTGTGGGGGTTAGTGCTCAAATGGAAATTGAGCATGTTCACATTTTGGCCTCTAGATGGCGTAAGTGAATCATTATGAAGCATCGGTGCATACACATTTGTTTTAGGTCCCAGTACAGAGATGTTGTAAACCCATATGCAAGTGCAACACATGTTTTATGTGACCTAATACCTACGAACCCACTGTGTTTGGAGGATGTTATTGTTGGAGCTAAGTAGTTTTTGACCAGATATTTGATGTGGGTGTCTACTTAACAACTCATGTGTGTAGTTTTGTTCAGCTGAATAAAACATGTACAGCATATGTATCACAGTAACACAAGTAGCCAGGCACTGTACACACTGAATATAGAAAGTGGATAATAATGCAATAGTGGTCGATCCAGATTATTTTTGCATTTCTTGTAATGGGCTATTTAAGCAGACACTTTGACTCTGATGGGGCACTTGTAGATGGGTGTTCTGTGGCTCCTGTGGTTTCCTCTCTTGTTCATATCTTGCATAAGTGATATCGCTTTTCGATGGAGACCAAAAAGTCTTAGTGATTCTGACTTCAGCAGCTCCACCCACCTTCCTATCGACTCGGACAGTCTTCTCCTTTGATGCTTTAGAAAAGCAGCCCCATAGCATGATGCTGCCACCACCAGGTTTGACCACTGGGGATGGTGTGAGTAGAGAGATGCGTAGTGCTTGTTTTCCACACATTGTGATCTGCATCGAGAGCAAAAAGTTCCATCTTGGTCTTGTGTGACCGCGGCACTTCTGGAAATACAGGTGTTCCAGTATTTTGTATATTGTGTGGCGACTGTTAACTGTATACACTGGCCTGTCTGTTGATTAAAGCTGTATTTTATAATGTAACTACTATTTTTAGCAAACTTATGTTCTCTCTTTTACTAGTTTGTTGTTGTTATTGTAGCCTTGTACATTAGCATAATATTATTATAACACTAGCATGACGTTAGCCTGATCAAATTAAGTAACGTAACCCTGTTGTCAATCGTTGCCTGTTTATTAACATTTTTAGACACTAATTTACTCCAACTGAAAAACTACAAAACACATGCATTTTCATATATTCTTATATTATTCTCGTCCACTTCTAAAGTATGACCACTAGATCACATTTTAGCCCTTGTATGTACTAGGTTTAAAAAAAAATAAAAAAAATACAAAATTTTGACTATGTATTTACCAATTGCAAAGTCATATTCATGAAAGTCCCCCTCCTAAATGAAATGAACTACATTAAAATATTTTCCTGACAACTGTGCCTTCAATTAGGTTATTTTTTCACATGTTTATTATATAAGCAGAGTGTAACTACGCTTCGACCACGTTTCATTATCCTTTTCTTTCAACCATAATACACGTGCATATTTTTGTCACATGACACTTTGGAGTGAGCTTTTTCAAAATCATGATTCTTAAAGGCACACCGTGTAACTCTTGGCCACTAGGGGCGCTAGACCTGCAACTTTCACGTTTAGCGCCCCTAGTGGCCACAAGCAACTCAGCACTGTCGCAAAAGTCAAACAGTCAGCCGGTGTCTTTTGAGTGTGTATTCAGACAGCATGCACTGGTGTGTGTGTTCAAACTGTAGAGACATGCCTACAGATATTGAGAGACTCTGCTGTGGTCAGCCTCCAGACCGCTGCATTAGTAATCTACCACACATGGACTTCTATATCCTGGATGAGGGAGTTCTGCGTCTAGCTCGTGCTGCGTGGAATGACATCGTTGCGGTCGATGACATCCAGGAACCAGGTGAACAGCAGCGCTCATACAGACATGCAGCTTACAGCACGATCCCTTTCGCGTTTCCTCTTTTTAGCCTCCTCCAAAGGTCTAAAATTTTTCCTTGCCTCAGCCATGACCAGGAGTCGACCAGGTGAAAAATGAGTAGCAAAAGCCTTAGCTCCATGAGTATATCAGCGCCTGTAGCCGTAAAGCAAGTCTTTCTTCCAAGTCACGTGACCTGGTGGCAGACGGTCCGTCTGCTCGAAAGTTACATGGGCGGTATTTCAAGAGGGCAGCCCCGCTCGGAGCATTGCAAGTGTCAAGCGCTGTATATTGGCCCAAGTATTCATATAAAATAACTCATATGTGTCAACTCTTTAGGTCACAAAGTCCGCGGTGTGCCTTTAAGATTAAATGCACTAAAATAATGCTCAATATGTGTTCTTTAAACGAGTAGTTGACAACGGCATAAGTAAGAGTGCAGTTCAGGTAACCTCCAGACGGGGGCAGTGCACACACATATCCAGACTCCATTGTTCCAGAGAAAATTATGCGCTTATTTAAGAAGATTGTTAAAATAAGATAACAATAATCACTTAAACCCAATTACTTTCTACTCCGTACATTTTAAGGAACGTTACTTTGCTGATGGTGACAGTTTTGAAGTGTTTTTCTTGTAAGTACATTTATTTTTCAAGTTCAGAAAGTTATCAGGCTTAAGTTCCACATGCTGTGTTTAATGTCATATTTTCTGCCAGTGTGAAACCTTTATGATTGTATAATGTTTAATAACTATATTGTCCATCAATTATCCTTCACAAAATGCAAGAAACACAGGAACAGATTCATTCAAAAATAGATAATGCGTTTTTATTTATTTTTATACAAACAGAATCTCACCCATTCTCTGCAAAATGTGTTTTGTTTTACCTTGAAATGGAACAAAACACAACCTTGGGCGGCACGGTGGCTGAGTGGGTAGCAATCTCGCCTCTCAGCAAGAAGGTCCTGGGTTCGAATCCCGGTCGGAACAGGGCCTTTGTGAGTGGAGTTTGCATGTTCTCCCCGTGTCTGCGTAGGTTTCCTCCGGGTGCTCTGGTTTCCCCTACCACTAAAAACATGTACAATAGGTCTGGTATGCGCCTCCTGTACTGGCCCCTCCCATCTCTGTGTGGAGTGAGAGACAAATGCCTCAAAAATAATAACAATTGTAAACCGCTTTGTGACTCTGGTCTGTGAAAGGCGGTATATAAAATAAGATTACTTGAATTTTTTTAACACTTTATTTTTGAACCCAAACTACTGTATTTTAACTACATGAACGTTTATTTAAGTTGCATTAAATGATTAAATTAGGGGTGATAATTGTGTCACATAAACAGTGTATACTTTTATTGGATCACATGCTAACATAACGGTTAGTGGATCTCAGATGATCACAGAGGGGACAAAATACAAACTTTAAAATATACTCATCATAAAATAAAATAAAAATAAAAAATAAAAAAACAGAAAATAAATACAAAAATATTTATAATTAAATGAATAGTACAAATAATTTAGTATGAGAATTTTTAAAGTACAATATTTTTTTGATTTTATGTATTCCTTTCTTCGCATTATAAATGTTGCCTTGTGAGGTTTTTGTTTTTTAAACTATGACATTCCTCTTGAATTGTAAAGGCAAAAACCCAAAAATAAAGTATATTAAAAAATAAAAATAAAATATTCTCATCTTGTTTGTTCTTTAACAGCGGTGTGATCAGTGGCAGTAGATGGCGCTCTCACAGACTTTATCGAAGGTGAGCTGAGTGTCCTGTGTCCCGCTGTGGTGATTGGACCCCCTTCCCCCAGTGTACTTCTAACTCCTAACTTTACCTACTGTAGTACCCACAACCCCCTGCATCTGTGCCAGTCGCTGATGGACTTAAGCCTAGCGTACATGGACAGAGTAACTGGAGACAACTAGTTTCACGGCGGCTTTTGGCGACTGAGAGGAGATGATGGAGATGATCAGTTGAAGTCGGTCGATGTGAGCGCTCTTACAACTGGAGATAAACAGTCGATCTCCGGATTCAGTCAGTTGCCCGTGTTCTACTTTTCGGCAACTAGTTGTCCTCAGATCCGGAGATATCACCCGATGTGCTCCGACAACATGTGTGTATTGTGTGTATAGCGCCCTCTACAGTTTATGTCAGAAAACACACTGTAGTTGAGGCCAGTTGCTGTTATTCCCCAGACTGGCCTGTTACAGGAGTTGCCCGTTTTCTCCAGATTGTTGATGTGTGCGGGGCAGTAACTCATAGGCCACAGATATAATCAGTTACCAGTCCGATGTACGCTAGGCTTAACTGTGGTTGTCGTCCTTTTTATCAAGGGACAACAGGAGCTGTACTGTTACTGTATGCTATGGTGGGGAGTTGACCACTGGACGTTCTGGTGGACCAAAGCAGTCTGAACACACCTCACACAGCATGAGAATTATATTAAAAATGTTCTGATGATTGGTTGTCCTTAAGATTGTCGGAAGCCAAAATCAGTCTTATTATCCTGGCTTGTGAACCAGGCTTTGATCACATATATCTGATGGATGCAATCAGACTTTTTAAAGGCCGTTCGAACCAAAGAACCCAGAACCTTTGGTATAAGTTGTGGTTTAATAAAAAAAAGAAGGTATCAGCAGCAGTAATGGAAAACTAAAGTATTAGGATACAAAGTGTACTTGTATACCATTGGATGCATTGTAAAAATCCTAACTCTCATATTCGTAGACAATTCCAACACTATTTACCCATATTATCCCCTCTTTTCTCTTCAGCTAGTGTCGTATCTGTATTGGCCTGTTTTTTTCCATTACCCACCTCCCCATCTCCTCTCTATTCCCAGCCGTCTGTATTTACATGCCTCTGTCTGCTCCAGAGGAAGCACTGGAGTTATTTTGGGACTCAATTATTTTTCCTGCTGATGTACACAATAGCGTGCCCCATGGACTCGTATTGAAAGTGTGTTGAGCTGCTGATAAGCGTGTCAGTACAAATCCCAGACGGAAAAATGGTCATGGGTCCATAATGTGTACGCTTCTGGGGTTCCCTGTAATGTTCATCTCAATCAGCACAGGAGAGAAGGTCTGTCTGGATAAATGTTCTGCATTTATCAGATCTTGCTGCTCGTGATATCTCTTGACACTGCTCATTATTATGTATTGAGTACATTTTAATTCTCAAAATCAAGTGGATGTTAAACATGCAGAACACATGAGGCATGTCTCAGAAAGAGAGCAGTATAAGAAGTGCTTTATTGAACAGATCTTTGACGATCAGACGCCATTAGAAGACTCTGATGATTGGCCTGCACTGATCAGATCAGAAGATGTATTTACTCCCCAGGGTCTGACTCTGGTGGTGGTTAATGTCTTTGAAGAGTATGAATTGAGTTTGTGTGATTTTTATTTTTCAAAAGTTCATGAACATTTTGTAAGTATGATTTGTATGGAGTGATGTCAATTCCTTTAAGACATTTTAGGAATCTTTTAGTGACAAGCTTTTAAACATGATGAATTGCTCTCTTCAGATCTCAGTCTTTCCCACAACTGCAGGAAGCAGCGACATTTCTGAATACATTATTTTAATAACAACAGACCATTTTTAAGCCTTACGTAAAATTTGTCTTCTTAAATGGGTGAAAAATGCATGGCGGCTTAAAGATGGCGCCGTGGCAAGAGCTCTGGTGTGTGCCGTCTTCTCTGTCTGGTGCACACTGGGGTAGTCTTGCACAGTTTTTCCAATGTGGTTTTACTGCAAAGAGCAAATCAATGAATCTGAATCTGATCTGAAAAATGTTAGAAACATTTTAGTCTGGTTTTAGGTTGAAAGAGAAATCTCTGTTCTGTGGCTCAAAGATTTTGAATTATTTTTAGATTAAATTAGGATTCCCAATAGTTGACAGTGTTGGTTTTACTGGCTCTAAACGTTGCTTTTGATACAGTAGACGCCACTATTTATTCATCTTGCCTAAAAACACCTTGGCCTCTCTGATACTGTCCTCTAATGGTTCACTTCTTATCTCAATGACATTTATGTTAAGTCTGGAAACCTGATCATTTTTGTATCTATAAATTAGATATATAGACAAATGTTATTACTAATAAAATAATTAACTTGCAGACACATTTCCACTGCTGCGTGGGTGCAATGGGCTGTACAATGTTTGTGTGCAGAGAAAACACAGCACCTGATAATAATAAGAATGTGAGCATGAAAAAATAAATTGTGGCAATATATATATAATATGGCAATATCTTTCCTTTTTGGATGGAATTACACTAAGATCATCTCAACAACTGGTACTGCCTCACCTCGTGGGACTCCTTCTTCAGCCTGACGGCATCCCTTACTGCCGGTGTCCACCACAGGGTTCGGGGGTTGCAGCTGGTACCAGCACCAGAGACCTTGCGACCACAGCTACGAGCCGCCGCATCGGCGATAGAGGAAGAGAACATGGTCCACTCAGACTCCATGTCCCCCTCCTCCGCCGGGACCTGGGAGAAGCTCTCCCGGAGGTGTGAGTTGAAAGTCCGTCTGACAGGGGGCTCAGCGAGACGTTCCCAGCAGACCCTCACTACACGCTTGGGTCTGCCAGGTCTGACCGGCTTCTTCCCCTGCCAGCGGATCCAACTCACGACCAGGTGATGATCGGTTGACAGCTCCGCCCCTCTCTTCACCCGAGTGTCCGAGACACGCGGTCGAAGGTCAGATCACAAGACGACAAAGTCGATCATCGACCTCCGGCCTCAGGTCCTGGTGCCACGTGCACTGGTGGACACCCTTGTGCTCAAACATGGTGTTGGTGATGGACAAACTGTGACTAGCACAGAAGTCCAACAACTGAACACCGCTCGGGTTCAGGGCCGTTCTTCCTGATCACCCCTCTCCAAGTGTCACTGGCATGCACTGGACAGTGCACCGACTCCCCGGTCGGTGCACTGTCCAGTACACCTCCCAAGGACTCCAAGAAGGCCGGGTACTCTGCACTGCTGTTAGGCCCGTAGGCACAACAACAGTGAGAGACTTGTCCCCCACCTGGAGGCGGAGGGACACGACCCTCTCATTCACCGTGGAGAACTCAACACGTGGCGGCTTAGATGAGAAAGGCCCCCCTCGCTAGCTGCCTCTTCCCGCAGGAAACACCAGAAAAGTGGATCCTCCAACCCCTCTCAAGGAGTTGGGTTCCAGAGCCCAAGCTGTGTGTGGAGGTGAGGCCGACTATCTCTCATCGGTATCTCTAGACCTCCCCCACGAGCTCGGGCTCCTTCCCCCCACTGAGGTAACATTCTACGTCACCAAGAAGTATGCCAATCACAAACCAACAATCTTCTTTCTTCTTGTATTTGTAATCATCAAAATCACCAGAATTCACCAAAAAACTGTAAAATAATCATTCTGCTCACAACCCAATGTAGTTTACAGATATTGATGCATCATTCATGCATCTCTTAGAAACACTGTACACCGGTGTATTCAAATGTGTTTTTGAGTGCCCTAATCAGCACCAAATACCTTATTATACCAAATATTTTCACTATAGATTTAGTCAAAAAAAACCAACATGCTCAAAGGGGGGGAGCGCAATAATTGACAGATTCTCAAAGTTTGAAGCCTTTCCCTCCGCCCTCTGCTGCAGCGGTGCGTAAAATTAAAAGGATGAGAGACTGCATCTCTTCACACAGCGATGAGATTGAACAGAGGAACATTAGACTCAAAGAGCATAGAGAGATGTGGTCATTTTTTACACTGTAACCAGGATTTGACAAGCTGCAGTCTCATTTCACGCACAATATTTACATAATTTTGGTTTTGTTTCATGTGCTGTGGTTGTTGTGGAATTTTGTACAGGCAGAGAGCACAATAAAAATAATGTAAACAACCCAGAGCTGTTATACAATCAAAGTATGAGTTTATTCATTAGTAAACATTCACATAAATGCTCCCTCAGTCTGTGCTCTTCCTGGAAGGTCCTGGAGGTTATGTGAGGCCGATGTTCTTTGACTTCTCCAGTACATTTATCACCATCTAACCTCTCTTACTGAGGGAGAAACTGGAGAAGATCGGAGTTGATCCCATCTTTAACAACTGGATTTATAATCACCTCACTGTGCGTCACAGTATGTCAGGTTAGGGAAGAGCGTGTCTGGGACTGTTGTGAGCAACACAGGAGCACCACAGGGCACCGTTCTGGCTCCCTTCCTCTTCACTGTTTACACTGCTGACTTTGCACACAACTCTGCTACATGCCATGTACAAAAATACTCGGACAATACCGCTGTTGTGGCATGTGTGAAGGGGGGATGAAGCAGAGCACAGGGAGGTGGGGGCCGCCTTCTCAGACTGGAGTGAGAGAAATGGTCTGATTCTCAATGCGTCCAAGACCAAGGAGATGATCACTGACTTTCACAAAAGCCCTTCCCATCAACCGGTCACACTGAATGGAGAGGACATAGAAGTGGTACAGTCATACCCCAGTAGACAATACATGTTAGACCAAAAATAGACACAGGTAAGAGAGATCGCACCATAGAAAATCAATATGTTACCTTCTCCACCAACTCCCACTTATGTCTGATGTCATTGTGTCCTTGGGCAAGACACTTAACCCTACTTTGCCAGAAGCCCCCGCTGAAAGATCAAGGCTGTGTTCTCACTGACAGAAGCCGTCCTCCTGTGGACTCAGCACATGCAGGAGGATCAGTGAGGGGCTGGTGGTTTGTGAATTGGGTGCAGCTCTGACTGCCACCCCCAGAAATGGATTAAGGGGAAGAACATTGATGGATGTCCTGTATTTTAATAAATAGTTGAGAACAAGTAATTCTTTTACTCTTATGCGTATTTAATATAAATTCAGATCTCTTCA